GATGATTTATGGCCCCAGCAGAGAACCTGGGAGTCGTGTTAGGGGGAGGGGCGGGGAGTGGGGGGTCGAGGGGGGCGGCGGTGAAGGCCGGACCCAGCTGTGAGGAGGGTGCTGGAGAGAAGCCAGCTCCATCCAAAGCGTGTGTGAGGGAAGCTGGGGGGAGGCCAGGGGCACTTCCATTTTTGAGAATACCAAAGTGTTTTTAAACAAACAAACAGAAAACCAGCCAGGGTTATCAAAATAATTGTGCTAAAGGTTGAACTCATATGACAAGCATTTTTGAACTTCATTCCTGTCCCTGTGTCTTTGTAACTGGGTGCATGACCTCATTTGGAGATAACAAAAAATAGGAACGGGAAGTCCTCTGTGGCTGTGAGGCTCCGCACACCCACCCCAGCCAGAGAGAGAGGCCAGACTCCCCACTTAGACTGGCTGAACCTGGACCCTTCCCAGCCTCCTCCTCCAGGAAGGCCATGAGGATTAGCCAAGTGGTCCAGGGGAAAAGGAAGGACTCCCCAGTGGCCACCTCTGACTTTGCTCTTCTTCTAAAAGGAAAGAGGGAAAAGGTGACCCGAAATGGGAGATGTCAAATCCTCTTGACTTCTTTCCGAGTGGCTGACCTTAGCGAGTCCCTTCACAGATTCCGAGGATCAAGTATGTGTGTGTGTGTGCGTGCACGTGCACAGGGTGTGTGTGGTAAACCAGCAAGTATGTCCGCCCCCTTACCTCCGTTTCCCCACCTGCGTCATGGGCATGGGAGATGCTCCCACACCAAGGGCTGCTTGGGGGACTAAAGAGATGCTATCCAGGCACCCTGGCACCAGGTGGGTCCCAGGCAGGTGGTAATTATGAGGTGATGTGTCCACAGGTTGGCCTTGGGTTTGGCCTGAGGTTGACTGGGGTGGGTGCTCCCAGTCTCCAGCACCCTCCCATCTAATCCCCAGTCATCTTGGAGCTGGATCCTGGGAAGGGAGCTGGGCAGGAGGGTACCAGCCTAGCTTAGAGTGAGCCCTGGTCCTGGGGGCCCAGTCTAGCCTCTCTGGGCCTCAGTTTTGCCATCGATGAAATTAGGGGCATCTGCCAGAGCCTTGGAGAGAAGTTGCAAGAGAAAGCCTGGATGAAGAGCCCAGAGTGGGGAAGCGGTGGGGGGCTTGGCCCTGCGGCTGCCAGGACTCCCCCAGTCAGGTTAGGCAGACACAGTCTTCTGACACAGGAGAGTGTCACTGTTCGTCCCCAGGGGACCCTGGGAGAGGGTCCAAGGGGAACAAGAGGGTAAGACTTCAAGAACTATTTCTCAAATCCAAGGGGGAATTTCTTCCATTGTAATTTACTGGAATGTGGGGGAAGGCCATGGGACTCCTCCCACCCCACTTGACCATCACTTAGGATCCAAGAAGAGGCTGGTCTAAGTGACTCCAGCAAGTCTGTCCCCAGGCCCCCTAACATCCGGCCCCATCTCAGGGAGCTGACAGCAGGGGCAGGCTGGCTCTGGGATCAGGCCCGAGAGAGGGCCCTTGACAGTATGATCATCCCTCCCTCCCTACCTCCCTCCCCACTCCCCCCTGCCTTCTGGAACTCCTTGTCTCCTGAAGTGAGCGGTGCCAACGTGGGCCTTTTGTCTCCACATCTGGCCCTCACCTTCCTCTATCTGGCCCCAGTGGACAGCCTGGAGCTGGGGTGGGGAACATCGGAATCATTGGGCCTGGCCCCGCCAAGGCATTAGGGTGAGTTAATGAAATGTTTGACCAAACCTAGCAGGCTAATTTTTAGGTTAATAATTCTGTATGGCCAGGAATGATGCTATAAATATGCAAATGGCCCTCAGCAGAAGAAAGGTTCCCCACCCGGAAAGGGACAAAGCCGACCCTGACTTGGGGAGAAAGGTTCAAACCCAGCTCAGCCACCACCACCCTTGGGGAGCCTTGGACAGGCTGCTTCTCATCCCACAGCCTCACCTGTGGCCGAGGGGGATTGGTATCCACATGACAAGACTGTTCTGCGTGTTATAAAGAGCCTGCTGCCCTGACCGGTGTGGCTCAGTGGATAGAGCGTCGGCCTGCAGACTGAAGGGTCGCAGGTTCGATTCCGGTCAAGGGCATGTACCTTGGTTGCGGGCACATCCCCAGAAGGGGGTGTGCGGGAGGCAGCTGATCGATGTTTCAAACTCTCTATCCTTCTCCTTTCCTCTCTGTAAAAAATCAATAAAGTATATTAAAAAAAAAAAAAGAACCTGCCAAGTGCCTGGCACATAGTAGGTATTCAATACCTTGTAATAGTGATGCTGTTCTTAGGATGGGGACTTTCTGGGTCCAGCACACCTCTGTGTGGGGCATCTGAGTCTGGCCCACTGTGTGAGGTCTCCATCCCCAGTGCCCTATTGGCCGTCACTAACCTTCTACCCATTTTACTACAGATGCAGTGACTGACAAGGTGCTGGGTGTGGCGCTGGGTGTGGGGGAAGGAGACAGACATGGAGGAGGCCAGGGCGTCTGGCTGGGTGGGGCTGGGAGAACGGGCGGGAGGGCCCCAGAGGCCCACGCTGGGACTTGCTGGGAATCTGTCTCACCGGTTTGGGGAGCTGGCCCGGCACCGGGGAGAAGCTGGCATTAGGGAAAGACAGGAGGGGCTGGCGCTGCCTGGGAACGAGAGCTGAGACGGCACGCTGGCTGGGACGGCCTGGGCTGGAGGCCTGTCTGGTGCCTAGAGAGGGGCCAGGCTTCTGCTCCCAGTGGATACCCTCCACACACACACACACACACACACACACACACACACACTCTGCCTCATCACCACACACTCAGAGACGCCACTCTCCGATGCACACTTGGACACACACATCAACACACTTCTTAAACTTCAACCGCTCCATTCTCTCCATCCCCTTACCCAGCTCCATTTTTCATCTTATTTATCTAAAGCTTTATAGCACGTAGTGTTTCCTGCCTATCTCCCTGCTGGAATGCAGGCGCCATCAAGGCAGGGTGATTGGCCTGCTGTGCCCACTAGTGATGCCCAGCACCAGTGGGTGCTCAATAAATATGTTCTGCCCTGGCCGGTTTGGCTCAGTGGATAGACTCAGAGCGTCGATCTGTGGACTCAAGGGTCCCGGGGTTTGATTCCCGGCAAGGGTGCATGCCTGGATCCCGGGCTCGATCCCCAGTAGAGGGCGTGCAGGAGGCAGCCATCCAATCGGTGGTTCTCTGTCATCATTGATGTTTCTCTCTCTCTCTACCTCTCCTTTCCTCTCTGAAATCAATAAAAAATATATTTTAAAATAAATAAATAAATATGTCTGGGTGAGTGAGCGAGTGAACCCCTAGAGTCCTGTTCACAAAGGCACAGGGACGCACGTGGAGAACCCAGGACACTGCCCTGGATGGACGTTCTGACACACACACAGGCACCCGCTCACACCCAGCCTCGCACAGCCACACTGCGCACAAGCACACGGACCTTCGCACTCCCGCACACCAGCACTTTCAGACTCACTCCCACCCTTTCGGATTCCAAGGCTCCTAATCACACTGGCAGGCTCTGGCACATCCCTGCTCCCCACCCTCTGGGTGCCAGCCCCGAGGGCAGCCCCTCCCAGCAACAGGGGGCAGAGCCCTGGTGGAAGCAGCTTGAAAGGGGTGGGGCTGGGCTGGGCCACCTGGCACCTGGGAGTTCTCAGGAGACGCTACCGCTACCACCCCGGCAGACTCACCTATGGGAGGAGTGAGGTCACCTTCGCCCCTTGACCCCACCTATCTGCGCTCCAGACTCAGACTGGCCTTCCCACCCTCGTCATCAATAAAGGCCCAGGAAAGGGGTTTGGGGTGGGATATGGGGTTCTCCTGGGCACAGAGCTGGGCGGGGCCCAGGCCCAGCCACCTGGCACATCTGGGGAGGAGGGGTGTGGAAGGCGAGAACTAGGTCCCCAGCCTCTGCTCCACCCTATAGTGAGAGAAGGCTCCTCCACACCCGACCCCTCAGAGGCCAGAAGCGTGGGGAGTGGGCAGCACTGTCACCTGGCAGGCCCTGGCCCATGGTCCTTTCCCAGAGACCGCCCCCCACCCCGTGCCCCCACTTTCCCGTTGTGAAACCTGGAGGGGACACTGGTGAGTCACAGGGCTGGGTGATAACCACCAGACACGGCTCTCACCCCCACATCTCCGGACCCTCTGCCCCCCAGAGCCAATGCAAGATGGGGCAAGACGCCACCGCCACCACCAAGTCTCACACTGCAGACGATAACCGCGCTCCTCTGGCCACTGAGATGGGCCCCAGTTCATGGAGAGCGGGCAGGGCGGGCAGGGCATGCTCACCCTGACTCCAGGGAACCTGGGTCAATGCCTGAAAAGTGAAAACCGGAAGTAAATGTCCTTGGCCCCTTCCCCTCAGTCACCACATATCCCCAGGGAAGCCATGCTGAACTAGGAAAATACTGGACATCCCATCTTAGAAATCTGAAGCCACCGTCTTCCCAGGCCTTGGGGCGGGAACTGCGTCCTCACGCCCCCTGGCGGTGGATTGCCATGACAGCAGCTGCTCTTCTCAGTCCACAGAGGCCAGACTGTGCCCCCTCACCCGCCTCCCTCCGCATTTACAGATGAGGGGAGACCTGATGAGGGGAGGTGGGCGCAGAGGCCAGGAGAGAAGGACCTGCACCCTCACCACTCAGCCCTTGGGAGAATGGACCCCAGGTCTTGTAATTCTTTTTCGTGTTGCTGTTGTTAATCCTCACCCGAGGATATTTTTCCATTGATTTGGGGGGGGGGGGGAGGGGCGGGCGAGAGAGAAGGAGAGAAGGAGAGGGAAAGACAGAGAAAAACATCAATGTGAGAGAGACACATCGATTGGTTGCCTCCTGCACGAGCCCGACCAGGGCCTGGGCCAGGGAGGAGCCGGAGCCTGCAAGCAAGGTACCTGCCCCTGATTGGACTCGAACCTAGGATCCTTTGTTCAGCAGGTCGACGCTCTATCCACTGAGCCAAACCGGCTAGGGCCAGGCCTTGAAATTCATTCAACAAGAAACATTTATTGAGCACCGTGGCCAGTGCCAGGCACCGCTGGACTCCTGGTCCAGTGCTCTCCGTGATGCCAGCCGCCCCTCTGCTATCTCTGAAATTCAGGCTGAGGCCCCGACTGGGAGAAGCTGGCATCTCCTCCTCCAGGGGAGTAGCAGGTGCAGCACCGCCATCCTGTGGTCGAGACCAGCGAGGAGGCAGGGGGCCCGGAGCAACGCTCTCGGGTGGGACAGGATGGGGCCTGGCCAGCTATGTCCATTTTACATTGTTAATAAATAGTCTTGCTGCTGCCCAGGCTGGTGAGGGTGGTCCCACTGGGCCCAGGCTTCCCAAGTTCTTGTGAGGTGCCGGGGTGGCCCTCTTCTCATGCTAGCTCAGGCTCCGGCTCTGCAAAGAAAAGGAGAGAGCACTGGGGTGAGCCCCCACCCCTCCCAACAGGTGTCTGGGTGCTATTCTACGGGGAGGTGGGGCAGGCAGGAGAGAGACTCCCCAGGAACAGGTCTCGGCTGACCCCTGATCCCAGGAAGGATACCACCCCCTACAGAGGTTGCCAACAGACAGGAAGCCCCCAGAGGAGGGGGTCCCAGCATCCAACACACATATAAGTCCCCCGCCTCTGTAGCCCAGTGCCTGGATCCCTCTGTCCCCAACCTCCATCCCAGGCTGCATCCCCACCCCACGTCATGGCTCAAGTCACTGACCAGCCTCAGCCTCATCACCCTTGGCGTCCAGCTCCTGCCACCAGTCAGCATAGATGCCCTCCTCGTAGTCGCCCTCCCCCTCAAACTCCGCATCGGATGGGTGGTCCTCGGGCTCCAAGGGCGGTTCTGTCTCCTCCAGCTCCATCTAGAGAAGCCCCAGGGTCCAGGGTCAGGGGACAAACCAGATCACAGAAGGCACAAACCTGGGCCAGTTCCAATCCTGGCCCAGGGGCCCTCCCACCCCATCCCTGTCTCAAGATCTCACACAAGAATGACATGAGGGTTTCTCCTACCGTCCTATCCCCAGCTGCCCCCTCCTGAAACTGGTGCATGGGGCTCCACCAGCAGAGATTCCGTGTTAGCAGGAGCTTCACCCTCTCTGCAGCCACTTGTTATGTATAAACACCCCGAGCGTGCTGGTAGCCCGTGCACACCGTCTGCTCATGCCATTCCCAGCCAGGAACGCCTTCCCTCCCCTCTGCCTGCACTGCCCTTGTTCATCCCCCAACGCCAGGCATCAGCTCCAGATGCAGCCCTTGCGATGACCCTGGCTGGGTCAGGAGTCCTCCGGTGCCCTCTGCTGACCTCTCCCGCAGGGAGAGGGGTGTTGTGCCTCCCCCTGTTGCTGGGGAAAGGGACTGTGCCTCTCATCAATGTAGCCCAGGCCCAAACCCGGTATCTGGCCAACAGCACACAACACACAGCAGCAATCAAAACGGCTGCCACCTGCTGAGCACCGACTACATGCATGCCAGCTCTGTACTGAGCGCTTTACACACTTGATCTCGTTTCATTCTTACCACACAGGGTGAGGTGGGCATGATCCTCCCCACTCGATGGATGAAGCAATGAGAGTTTCAGGGTTCCCCAAGACTTTCCTGGAGGGGGCCCACTTGGGAAGTGTGGACCAAGTCTGACCAGCGCCAACCTGGCTACTAAGAGTGTAGACCCGGCCCCCGTGTTCCATGAGGGAGCATGGCGCTTGAACAAAGGAGGGAGTGGATACAGAAGCACCGAGCAGGGACACCTGAGAGCATTCACCCTCAAACCCTCACTCAGAATCAACGTAACACGCTGCATTCCTTCCTTCGTTCACTGGTTCATTCAAACTCAGTTTCTGGGCGCCAGCTCTGCTTTCCCCAGAGAGCAGAGTAACCTGGGGGAGCTGGGAATAACCTGGTCCCCCATCTTGGATCACAGCCCTCTAGGAGACTGGCTGGAGAGGGGTCTGGGGGTGAGCTGGACCAGGACTGCAAATAAGTCCAGGTCCAGGGAGGCCGAGAGGGTCAGAGTCGGCATTGCAAGCCTGGAAGACAGAGCCAGGGCATGCAGCCTGGCTTCCTGGAGGAGGCGCCACCTGAGCTGGGCCCAGGAGAAGCACGACTGAGACATACAGAGAAGGGGGCAGGAGGACATGGAGTGGGGGGAGAAGGGCAGGTGTATTTAAGGGACAGGAGAATCCTGCTTCACAACAGCTGGCTGCTGGGAGCTGGGGCTGAGCTTTGGCAAAGTGGCCAAGGGGTCTCCATCATCACCCAGCCCTGGGGGGCAGGGGGCCACTTACCTCATCATCTGACTGCAGGTACATGTGCGAGAACTCCAGCAGCTCCCGCAGCTCCGCCGTCTGGTTGTGGTAGAGCATGGCCTCCTGGTGGGAGGGAAGGAAAGTGAGGTGAGCTGGACCCTGCTGCCAGAAGAGGAGGAGCCAGAGCTCCGAGGATTTGGGCCCCCTGGCCCTTTTCCAGCTCAAGGAGCCTGGACAGGTGTCAGCACACATGCTGATCAAAAAAGTGGCGCTGCTTGGAGTGCTGGGTTACGGATCCTGAGGGTTCTGTGGGAGAGCGCCTCAACTGATTCGCAGTGTCTGCCACTGACAAGGAAATGGACACCAGCACCAGGTGCCCCATCTGTGCCAGGGTTGCCCCAGACTCCTAAGGAGCTGCTCAGTTGGTCCAGGTTGGGAGGTCCCTGGGGAAGAAGGCCAAGGCCAGCAGTGAGGATGATGAGGGTGGGGAAGGGAGCAGGCAGGAACCAACAGGTATTTTCATACCTCCCACCTCACCTGCGGTGCTGGTAAGGGAGGTCGTCCCCGCCCCATTTTGCAGGTGAGGCAACAGATTGAGAAAGGGTGAGCGGTGTTCCCAGGACCACAAAGCCGATGGGGCTGAGTTTGAACCCAGGACCCCAGCCACAACCCATATTTTTTCACTTTCCATCCTGCCCTTGAGGAAGCCGGATTTTTTTTATCAAATCACATGGTCCCAAGAGTGGCTCGGAAGGCAATGCCCACCTCCCGGGGCTGGAAGTCCTCCTCCTCCAGGCCCCAGCGAGCCCGGTGGAAGCGGTAGTACACCAGGTTCTGCTGCATGACGCCGTCCTCCGGGTCGAAGAGCATGTAGCTGGCGGCGCTGCGGGCAGCCTGGCGTACGTCGTTCACTGCAGACAGAGGAGGGGTGAGGAGTAGCCCTGGCACTGCCCCGCCTTTAGGGGTGACCCTCCCTCCCCTCACCCACCCATCTTTAGGGATGACCCCACCTCACCCACTCCTATCTCCCTCTTCAGTCCAGCGCCTCTGCCTCCCCAGCTGTCTTCCAGAATACCTTTGGGCATCTCACCCCACCCAACGATAATGCACCTGGGATGTACTGGGCACTTGATGTGTGCCAGGCCCTCATTTAAGACTCAACGCTATTGTCATTCCCATTTTACAGATAAGAAATTCAAGGCACAGAGAGGTCAAGTAAACGGATCAAGCTCACACAGCTGGAGAATGATGTCAGAGGGGAATTAGAGGCCAGTGGTGGCCCTCAACCTCTTAGCCAACTGGACCCATGAAGGGCCTCTTGGCTTCTGTGTGTGTGTGTGTGTGTGTGTGTTAAATAGAGTTTTATTGATTTCAAAAAGGGAGGGAGAGCCCTAGCTGGTTTGGCTCTGTGGATAGAGCAGGGGTGGGCAAACTTTTTGACTCGAGGGCCACAATGGGTTCTTAAACTGGATCAGAGGGCCGGAACAAAAGCATGGATGGAGTGTTTGTGTGAACTAATATAAATTCAGAGTAAACATCATTACATAAAAGGGTACGGTCTTTTTTTTTTTTTTTAGTTTTATTCATTTTAAACGGCCCGCGGGCCGTAGTTTGCCCACGGCTGGGCTAGAGCGTCGGCCTGCGGACTGAATGGTCCAGGGTCCAATTCCAGTCAAGGGCACATGCCTGGGTTGCTGGCTCAATCCCCAGTGGGGGGCATGCAGGAGACAGCTGATCAATGATTCTCTCTTATCACTGATGTTTCTATCTCTCTCTCCCTCTCCCTGACTCTCTGAAATCAATAAAAATATATTAGGGAGAGGCAGAGATAGATAGAAACATCAATGAAGAGAGAGAACCATTGAGTGGCTGCCTCCTGCAAGCCCCCTACTGGGGATTGAGCCGGCAACCTGGGCATGTGCCCCTGACTGGAATCAAACCTGGGACCGTTCCGTCCACAGGCCGAGGCTCTATCCACTGAGTCAAACCGGCTAGCACTCTCCTGGCCCCTTGGTCCACAGACCCTCCACTCCAACTCCAGCTTCTGTCTGAATCTTGGCATCTCTGCATTACAGGAAGCCTAGAGATTGTCCATCGCAGCCCCTTGGGGCCAGGATCTCCCTCAAATGAGGGAGGCCTTAAGTCCTGGGGCTACTTCTTTTTTTAAAAGATTTAAAAATTATTTTATATTACTTTTAGTGACAGAGGAAGGAAGTGGGAGTGAGAGAGAGAAATGTCTGTGTGAGAGCAAACATCAGTCACACACCCCATACGGGGGATCAAGCCCGAAACCCGGGCATGTGCCCTGACCTGGAATTGAACCAGCAACCTTTTGGCACATGGGATGACGCCCAACCATCTGAGCCACGCTGGCCAGGGCTCTGGTGCTACTTTTTATTAGCTAAGTGACTAACGACCCCTTGCCCTCCATGTAAACCTCAGTGCCCTCATCTGAAAAATGGGTCCAGCGATGTCATCTGCAGGGGGTTGGTGAGAGGATAAAGTGAGATAAACAGACCTGGCAGGGCTTTGTAAACTGTCAAGTGCTGTGCAGCTGTGGGCTAGCTAGTCATTTACCCTGAGCCTGCTCTCTGTTCTCTTCCTCCAGCCTTTCACCTGCCCCACCCCACCCCTACCCCCACGCCCTCCCAATAGCCCAGGGGCCTGAATTCTGAGGAATGGCTCCCTGGACTCTGTGGTGCTCCCAGTGCAGTGCTCTCCGCTCCCCACCCCACCCCAAGCCCACAGGAGACTCACACTTGTAGTAGGCAAACTGCAGGTAGTGATACATGGTGGCCACGAACTTCTCCACGAAGTAGCCACCCACGTTGGGGGTCAAGTTGGCCTCACAGTCCACCTTGCACTGCAGAGATTCTGCAAAAATATCTGGGTGGTGGGGTTGGGGGGGAAGCAGGGGTGAGAAGCTGGTGGTGTGCTGAACAGCTCCGTTCCCCGGAGGGGGTGATGGAGAGGACGCCAGCCCCAGCTCTGCCTGCAGAGCCTGTTGCAGCCACGTGAGAGGTGGCGGCTGGGATAAGCAATGCTGAGGCAGACGACTATGGCCAGGGCGGACTTACCGCCCACAGCTTGGCTCTGTGGTAGGTGGCAGGTGAGGTGTGGAAGCGGTCCTGATGCCCAGATTAAAAAGCTCAGGGCAGCCCTGAGGGACCCCTGCAGTTAGGGACTTCAAACTCAGTGTGATTTCTGGCCATAAACTGCTTTTGGGACATCCGTGCGGGGCTGTTTCCCATCTCAGCGGGGGCACCTTTGCACCTGCATTGACCTCTACCTGGAAAGCCTGTGACCCCCATCCCAGACCCTCCTGGAATGTCGCCGCCTCTCTCCACCGGCGCCCAGCACCTTGGGCGCTCCAGACTGCAGTCCTTCGGCACCCAGTGGCAGGGGATCCGTTACCCTGTCCGCCTCTCAGCTGGCTGCGCACTCCACACTCCCAGGGACAGGATATAACACTGACCACCTCCCCAGCACGGAGTAGGGGCTCCATGAATGTGTTCAGGGGTCTGAGTTGTTCTGGGCCCAGTGGCGGCTGGGAAGGACGCCCATGGGTCTGGGTGGGGGTACCTGCTATGGCAGGGTAGAAGTCCTTGAAGTCCACCTGCTCGTGGGCCCCCTCGCAGCCAGCCAGACACCGCGCAAAGGTAGCCAGGTACTCGGCCAGGGCCCGCTCCATGTCCTCGGTGCTGCTGCGGAAGTCCCCGCTGTTGTAGAGCTTCACCGCCCGGAGGAACACGGCCTGGGGGGGAGCGAGGGGAGGATCAGGGGGGGGACCCACACACTCCCCCTCCTCCCCAAGTCCTATGGGGGGGTTGGCGAGGAGCTTCAGGGCCAGCCCTCCCCCTCCGCCCACCTCGTAGGGCTGCGCCTCCAAGTCGGTGAGGGGCTCCTCGGCCGCATCCAGCATCCCCCGGTAGTAGCTGAGATACTTGGTGGTCAGCTCGTGCTTGGGGTTCTTCTGGAGGAAGGTGTAGGCCGCCGCCAGCGCCTTCTCCAGCCGGTTCGCCTGTGGGGTGGGGTCGGGGTGGGTCAGCAGGGCCCGAGCCCGCCGCCCCGAGCGCACGAGAGGCTGCGGGATCGATGTCAGCAACTGCTCCGCCGCACCCGACGGGAAACCCGACGCCGGCTGCCGGCGACGGGACCGAGCAGCGCCCGGGGGCGGGCGGGCGGGACGCGGGGGGCTGGGGGGCGGGGGGAGCCCACCTTGAACTGCGCGTAGTGCAGGTACTGGTAGGGCAGCCGGCTCTGGAAGTCGCGCAGCAGCTGGCGCGGCGGGTAGGGCACCTGGAAGGCGGGCAGCGTCCGCTTGCAGCGCCGCAGGCAGGCGGCGCGCTCCAGGACGCGGCCGAAGAGCCGCAGCTCGCGGGCCCACTCGTCGCCGGGACCCCCGGCGGGGCCGGGCGGGGGCCCGGGGGCGGCGGCGGCGGGCGGCGCGGGCCCGCTGCAGTTGGCGTGGCAGAAGGCCTCGCTGTCCCGCAGCAGCCGGTGCAGCCGCAGCGCCGCCTCCAGGTAGCGCGCGCTCTCGCGCCAGCCCTCGCCCTCGTACTGCTCCAGCGCGTGCCCGTAGGCGGCGGCCAGCGGCATCAGGTCCTCGGGCGGGAAGCCCCGGAAGCTGTACTTCTCGTACTGCGCCCCGGAGCGGCCCAGCAGCAGCCACAGCAGCGCCCAGGCCGCCCGCCCCATCCCCGCACCGCGCCGGCCGGCCCGCGGCTCTCCGGGCGCAGCTGGTGTCCGGGCCGGGCCCGCGGGCGGGCGGGTGGGGCTGGGGCAGGGGCCGGGCCGGCGCGCCCGCTGGGTCTTAGCGCCGGGCCCCGCGGCTGCCGGGAGGGTAATGGCCTCGGCCAGGACCCCGGAGGGGCGAGGGCTGCGTCTCCCTCTGTTCGGTGGGCGCAAGGGTGTCCTGAGTCCCCTACGTAGCCCGGTGCCCTGTCCTTAGTAGCTTTCCCTCGACAGATGGGGGGCGCTTCCCTTAAGGATGGGGAGCCCAGAAAGCTCCCCTCCACGCTGCCCCCCCCCCCACCTTAAGGTCGTGAAATGGAGGGACGTGCCCCCTCCCTCTGTGCTGCCCAAGCCCCAGGAGCTGGTTTTCCGTCCATCACAGCACCCCTTTGGCACTCGCCCCACCCCCAGTCCTGAAGGGGTCGCTCCCAGGGTCCCCCCAGCCCGCGGCGGGCAGGTCACACCCGGCTTTGCCCTGCACACCCTCCACTCCACCGCCTCCGGCCGGACCTCCGTCCACTCCGAACGCCCCGGCAGCCCGGGTTTTGCAGAGCGAAGTAGCTCCTCGTCCTGGGACAGGAGGGATGGGGGAGCAGAGACACCCTCAGATGTTCTAGCCTCCCCAGCCTCCCGAAGAGGCTTCTGATTTGGGGGTGCCAGCGAAAGCAGCAAAGGATGCCTCGGTCCGGCTTTAGGACCCCGGGGGCTCCAGGGGGAAAGACAGTGAACTTTTTCTTTTTTGGGTTTGGAGTCAGCTCCCACTTCTCATCTTTCTGGAGCCTCCCTCCCGGCTGGGCCTCTCCGCCTCGGGCGGGGGCGAGGGGGGCGCCTGGAGCTCTTTGTGGTGCAGGCCCGGTCTCCCCCGCTCTCGGCCGGGCCCCCTCCTCCGATTCCACCCCGACCCCGCCCGCCAGCTCAGCCTCCCCAGCCCCCATTCCACGTGGACCCGCCAGGGCGGGGGTGGGGAGTGAAGACAGGAAGGGGGGGAGCCAACTCGGGAGCGGAGGCTGGTGGCGGCTCCTCTCTTGTTCGGCCTCACTGCCCGCCATCCCAGCTCCAGGCACCATGCTCCGTGGCGCGGGGTCCCGCAGCCACACCCTCCTGCGAGCCCCGCTGCTGCAGATGCTGCTGCTGCTGGTGCAGGCCGTGGGGAGGGGGCTGGGCCGCGCCAGCCCGGCCGGGGGGCCCCTGGAAGACGTGGTCATCGAGAGGTACCACATCCCCAGGGCCTGTCCCCGCGAGGTGCAGAGGGGGGATTTCGTGCGCTACCACTACAACGGCACTTTTGAGGATGGCAAGAAGTTTGACTCCAGGTAACGGGTTGGCTGGCCCCAGACTCACCACTCCTCCCCCGCCAGCCGGGCGGGCGCCCTTAGCTCCTGGGTTCCTTCCCTTGGTGCCCTTGTAAGCTGTGTCTGCCTTCTGGTACTCATTCCCTGACCCCCTAACCCCAAACACGGCGCCTTGGGTGGGGGTGGGGGTGGTCTCCCAGACATCCATCTCCCCAGGGATGTATCTTCTGCTCTCAATTTCAAACCTTTGCCTCTCCAAGGACCCCGATTGCGTTCACACACGCTCCCCAAACTCCCCCTAAGTGCTTGATAATCAAGGTGAACTGCTCTATTCACCAGCCCTTTATTTCGGGACATGAGGAGGGGGCTGTTCTAGTCTACAGTGTTGGGGGGAAGAGCCTGGTCCCTGATGCATGTGAGCAGCCTGGGACCCCTACATTCCCACCCGTCCTGACTCCCTTCAACGCTTCCTTCCCCGGTTTCAGTGCCTTTGTGGTTAGAGAAGAGGGAGTAGAACTTCCTTTGGAGGGGGTGGCTGTCAGCAGCCAGCATTATAATAAGGTTGGATGAATCTGGGCGTGTAGGGACCATGTCTGTCCACGTGTCAGACCTGCTGTCCTGGCTCCTGGGAGGATTGTTATACCTCCCTCTCCAGGTCTACCTGCACCCCCACCTCCTCCATCTTAGTTAGTGCCACCAGGCCAGGGCTGCCGCCCATCTTGCCAGCCTTGGAGTTTGAGAGGCCGGCTTCTGCTCTGGCAAGGAGAGAGGCAGGCCTTTGGTCTGCTCTGGCAAGTCCACGCTTCCCCTCTCACCCAAGAATATTTTTTCCATTGATTTCTAGAGAGAATGGAAGGGAGGCAGAGAGACAGAGAAACATGACATGAGAGAGACACACCAATTGGTTGCCTCCCAACCAGGGTGGGGCCCCAACAGCCTGCAACCGAGGTGCATGCTCTTGACCGGAATTGAACCCTCGGCCCCTGCCGATCGATGCTCTATCCACTGAGCCGAACCGGCCAGGGCGCTAATCCACTTCTGTTGGTGGGGGCAGGGCTACATGTCAGCCTTGGTTAAACCGGAGGTCTCAGTGACACACACACAACCCCCCACCACACCCCGCGAAGTCAGTTCTTCTTCGACCCTTTCCCAAAACACACAACTCATCCCCCGGGAAACCGGTGGCCATGGCTTCGGGGGCAGGCAGTGTACTGGGTAAGAACACAAACTCCAGAGTCCAAGACCCTGGTTTCAAAGCCAGGCTGTGACCATGGACAAGAAATGGTGCCTCTTAAAGCTTTACCTTCTTTATCTGAAAAATAGAGATCACAAACAATCTGAAAAAACCGAGTCCCTGCTTCCTGAGACTGACGATAGGGCTCAAACAAGACGACGAATGAAAGTGGACTTGACACAGTGCCTGGGAGTCCGAGAGGGTCCAGTACTCATCAGCCTCGACTCTGGGGGGACCAGATGCCCTGACAGTGCTGACTGGTGCTTGGGCCCTCACAACAGCCTGTGTGGGAAGCAGGCCGGTCACAAAACCAGCTCAGTAGGCAAAGTGAGGGGTAGGCAGTAGCCGGGAGTACTGCCCCTGACCGCCAGGGGCGGAGTGGAGGGGTAGAGGGGGGCTTTGGGGGACGACTTCCCTGGTGGGGACTCTGGGAACCAGGATGAGCCTGGAAAACTTTCACAACCCGTGGCCCCCTTCGGTCAATCTCCCAGCCGCCCTTAACTTCTGAAAACATAAAATGAAAAAACAGTAACTAAAATAAATAAAAGCCACGGCAGTTTGAGAATAGGCTCTTTCAGAACTGAAAACCAACCCCTACCCCCCACCAGCCTGCTTCCCCTTCCTTTCCTCCTTGGCGAGTCCCTGGTGCAGGGGCACAAACGGGGGGCCGGGGGGGGGGGGGGGGGGTGCGTCGCACATACCACATATTAGCTGTGACCTTGAGTGAGTGACTTAGTCTCAGAAGAAAAATGAAAACAATAACGCCTTCCTCATGGGGAAAGAATTAAATCAGATCACGGCCAAGCATGTCGCCAGCACATCCTAACGGCTCCATAAATGTTCCTCTTCACTTCCCTGAAGTGCTGAGCACGCCTTTGCTGCCAGCAGAGAGCAGCAGACAGCTTGCACCCAACCCTCTCCCAGGAGTATAAGAGCCCCTAGGCTCCGTGGGGACTTCCTTTTTGTAACTGCCCCGCCTCTTACATTGGGGGTCATGGCTGACCCCGGAGGGAGGTGAGGAGCATGTTGATCTACACCTGTGTGTAGAGGGGGACTGTGCATGTGTGTGTGTGTGTGCGTGCACCTGGGCATGTATGTGACCGTGGGCAGAGGGAAGCGTCTGGCTGTGTGCACCCTCACCTTGCACACCTGAATCCACTGTATCCTCCTCCGTCCCCCAGCTACGACCGCAGCACTTTGGTGGCCATCGTGGTGGGTGTGGGACGTCTCATCACCGGCATGGACCGAGGCCTCATGGGCATGTGTGTCAACGAGCGGAGACGCCTCATCGTGCCCCCCCACCTGGGCTATGGCAGCATCGGTGTGGGTGAGAAGGGCTGGGGCACAGGCGTGGCGATGGAGGAGACCTGGAGGCAGAATCAAGGGCCTCGGGGCCCAAAACCTGAAGCTTAGAGAGGGAGAGGGCCCTGCCCATGGTCAGCTGCCTACCCAGTATGAAGAGGGGCAGGTCTGGGACTCGAGTTTGTTTGCTGCCTCTGGGGTGGGAGGAAGGGCAGTAACGGCTGGTAGGATCGCAGCTTGACTAGGAAGAAGGGAACTAGAGGTGTGGAGGGAGGGGGCCCAGCAGGATGCTCAGACCCCCACGGCCACCCCCACCCTGGGCTGCACCAAACATGCGTCCCTGCGGCCTGCCCTCACAGCTGGGCTCATCCCCCCGGATGCCACCCTCTACTTCGACGTGGTCCTGCTGGATCTGTGGAACAAGGAGGATACCGTGCAGGTGAGCACCTTGCTGCGCCCGCCCCACTGCCCCCGCATGGTCCAGGACAGCGACTTTGTCCGCTACCACTACAATGGCACACTGCTGGACGGCACCGCCTTCGACAGCAGGTAAGGGCTGGCGGGGCCCCGGGCGCTGGGGACCGTGGCTCCGGTGGGGGGAGTCCAGGGTCTATGTTCTCCCTCCTCCAGCGGCATCACCCCTACCTCATTCTCTGCAGCTACAGCAGGGGCGGCACTTACGACACCTACGTCGGCTCTGGCTGGCTGATCAAGGGCATGGACCAGGGGCTGCTGAGCATGTGTCCTGGAGAGAGAAGGAAGATCATCATCCCGCCGTTCCTGGCCTATGGCGAGAAGGGCTACGGTAAGGGCGGGCGAGGACTCGGGGATTCTCCGGCGGCGGCTGCCACACACAGTGGTTCAGGGTGTGTGCTGCACCAGGGCACCCAGCCAAGGAGGCAAGTGGGAATGAAATCAGGCCCCTGGTGATCATCTCCCCGGTTGAGAAGGGGAGCTGTATTCTGACTCACACAAAGGTCCTGGACGGGCTGGTGGGTGGCCCGGGGGCACACCCAGCTCTGGCCTCTCAGGGGGAGCAGGAACAGGGAGGCTGAGGGCCAGGGAAGGGCCCCGGAGAGCAGGGTGAGCACCCTTTTGCAGGGTTCTCCCAGGGGCCTTCCTGGGTCAAGAAGGAGCCGGGTTTGCTCCCCACCTGTATGGTTGAAGCCTATCCCGTCCCCAGGGACTGTGATCC